CCTGCAGGAAAGGCACAAATTGATGCCCAAAATGCAGCCACACCAGCATTGATTTATGGCTGTGAAATCTTCTAGTAGGGCTTAGAGCCCACAGGACAGCTGGTACAAGGGCCTTCTGGGCTCTTCTCTCCCTCTTTTGGGGAGGAGTGGCTGAAAGCTGCCAGTCAGGGAGGGACCTGAGGGGGGATGTTGATAATGAGCCAGGAGTGTGCCCAGGGGGCCAAGGAGGGCAACGGCATCCTGGCTTGTACCAGCCCTGGCGTGGCCAGCAGGAACAGGGAAGGGATCTGAGCCCTGGGCTCAGCACTGGGGGGGCCGCCCCTCGATTCCTGGGTTCAGTTTTGGGCCCCTCACCCCAAAAAGGCCATTGAATGACTCGAGCGTGGCCAGAGAAGGGCAACGGAGCTGGGGCAGGGTCTGGAGCACAGGGCTGCTGGGGAGCGGCTGGGGGAACTGGGGGGGTTCAGTCTGGAGAAGAGGAGGCTGAGGGGAGACCTCCTGGCCCTCGGCAACTCCCTGCCAGGAGGGGGGATGAGTCTCTGGAGCCAAGGCCCCAGCGCCAGGCCCCGAGGGAATGGCCTCAAGCTGCCCAGGGCAGGGTCAGGCTGGCTCTGAGGAAGGATTTCTGTGCAGAAGGGGCTGTTGGGCGTTGGAATGGGCTGCCCATGGCAGGGGGGAGTCCCCGGGAGGGTTGAAGAGTCGGGCTGAGCCAGCGCTGAGGGATCTGGGGGAGTTGGGAACAGTCAATGTTGGGTTAATGACTGGACTAGAGGATCTTCAAAGGCTTTTCCAACCCAGACGATTCTGGGAATCTCTTCCGAGGAGCCCCTGGTGCCTTACCCTAAGCGAGGTCAGCACACGGATGGTACTAGCACCACAGTTCTGGATCAGTGTCCGGGGAATGACTTCCAGAGCCTGGGCAACTGCTCGGTAGGGCCACTGCTCCACCCCTGTCATGCCTTTGGATTTCTCTGTCAGCGCATGGGAAACGGCCATTTCAGTTGCTCCCCCACCTGGCACCAGCTGCGGGTCGATGAGGACGTTACGACACACCTGCATGGCGTCCTGGAGGTTGCGCTCCACCTCCTGAAACGGGCACAGAAGGAGATTTAAGAGTGTTGGGGATCTGTGGCACACCCCAGTCAGCAGGGCTGCCTCCAGCAGCATGCAGGTTTTGCCTCACTGTACAGTACAGCCCACGGGATGGGAATTCTTTTTCACTCCAGAACTCAGAGGAAACCCACACTTGCTTCATTTGCACCCAAAAGCGGCTCAGGAGGAAGCAATGACTTACTGACGCCACGAAGGTGGCCAGGACAGGAGGGGGAAGCAGAACGTGTAATAACTTACTGCTAGGATTTCCTTGCTGGCTCCACGCAGAATGATAGTGCAAGCCTTGGGGTCTTTGCAATCAGTGATGAAGGCAAAATACTCATCTCCTATTTTTTTAACTTCAAAGAGCCTGGCTCCAGTTCCCACGTCCTCCTCCCGCAGCTCATCTGTGCGACTCACGATGCGAGCTCCACAGGCCCTAGAACCCCAACAACAGTCGGGTTAGATGCTCACAAATGGAAACTGGGAAGAAAGGGTGAGACGAATGAAAACTCAAAACCTGGGGAGAAAGGGTGAGACAGATGTGAAAACTCAAAAAAAAACCCCAAAAAAACCCCAAAAAACCACCTGAGGGGAAAGGGTGAGATAAGAATGAAAACTCAAATGGAAACTGGGGGGAAAGGGTGAGCCAGAAATGAAAATTAAAAAAAAAAACCAAAAACCTGGGGGGAAAAGGTGAGACAGGAATGAAAACTCCGAACCATACACAGCATTTACCTGGCGATCCTGTTGTTGTCTGTCTTCCTCACTCTGCGGATAGCGGTGATGTTGGCTCTCATCAGGTAGTGCTGGGCCAAGTCTGAAATCAGGTTTGTGCAGTTTTATTGATCAATCAGTGGTATGACAACAAACATGATGTGTCTTTAAAGTAAAAAAGGGTTATGGCAAGAAAAACCTAAATGTAGCTTCTTAAAGCAAGCTGCAAGGCAAAAATCCCAGGGCAGCTTTCCAGGTTGCTGGACTCATCCTCACTTATACTTTGGTATCGTTTCCAAATGCTGGAAAAGCAAAATATTATTGTAAGTGTCCGTGTTCACAAGGAAACCTCAAGAACCAACTTGAATGCCTCCAACGTAGACCTATTTGCTAGAAAGCTAAAAACCAGGGTTGTGTTCAAAATCAGTTTTGTGGGTTTTTTTGTTGTTTTTTTTTTTTGCATGGATGGTTTGTTTTGATTTTGTTTTGGTTTTTTGGTTGGAGGCTTTTTTTGGCTTGGGTTTTGTGTTGTTTTTTTTTTTTAAAGTTACTAAACAGTGCATTTAACACAGCACGAACCTTATTAAGATGAATTCAACACAAAGAAGGATCACCGTGTTATTACCAGAAATTCCTTTTTCTGTGATGACCAGATCTGGCTTGACTCTCATCAGATCCTCGCAAATCTGTTGAATGTACTCTTCCTCCATCTGCAGGATGCGGGCAAAGTCTTCCTCCCGTGTTATTTCAATATCAGTCTGTGCAGAAAGAGGTGGAAATATCTCACTTTATTCCTCCCAGCCCTTCACCGAGTTACACACAGACCCCCTGGCTCAAGTGATCTTAACTCCTCCGATACCGCCTGGGGAACAGGTTAAGGAGAACTAGACAGTGAAAAATACTGATCAAATTAACAGTGACACAGTGTCAGTTTAACATTAATGTTAATTAAAGCACAGAACTGTTTGACTCTTAACCATCGCTTACATACACCAAGCTCTGTAGCCTCAGTTACATTTTTCTCCAGGGTACTGACCCTGCTGCAGAATTAGCCTACGTGGAACAAAGGTTTCTGAAAGGCAGAACATGAAGAGCCTTTTGCTACTCAGGCTTTTATCTACCTATTTTTTTCATTTTATTAATCTTAAATGAAAAGCTCTGGACATCTCTAACAGGACTTGCTTTACCTGGCTCTCTCCCTTCTTGTACTCTAGCGAGCAATCCAGAAGGACAATGCGTGGATTCTTAATAAGGCGACGCATCCTGGGGTGAGTCACATCTTTATTCACCATGATTCCACGCAAAACACACGAGTCTTCACTAAAACCACCTGGAATCTGAGAGACACAAGAAAGGGGCAAAATGAGTCAGTCTAGTCTACAAAACCCTGTGTATCTGCTCCTGAAACTATCCATCCCATGTACTGAAAAACTCTCCCAAGCAACCATGATGCATCCAGTTAATTTTAAGATGCATCTAATTTTAAGGGCATGCTGACCTTAAATAGCTACGGAAGGACTCGAGAAACTGGTCACATCCTACTGCCTGGCAACATGTGTTTGGAAGATGGAAACCAAAACAACTGAAACGAATCTTTTTGACAAATACTCTGAAAGTGTTGAAATAACTGTCCCTGGTTTCACTGTAAACCAGCAAGGCTGAGAGCACTGACCGAAGTATCTTTAAGTGTTATGTCTGCAGATCCGTAGCAGAAAAACTCTTCCCACTGCATCCTAGGAACAGCTTGTTCCGAATGACAAAGGGGCACACAGATAAGAAATGGGCTCAGGACACACTCACCTTTTCTACTTTTGCGTATTTTTTAATATCAATTTCCTTTCTGCCATTTTCTTCAAATTCCACAGTCTTAACAGCATCAAGAGCAATGCTACAGGCCAAGTCAGACCAGCGGTTTATTGCCTTGGTGTTTATAGCACTCTTTATGATTTTAAGCATCATCTCTTTGTTGTTCACATCCACTGAAGTGCTGACAGAAAGGAAAAACCAAACAGTAAACTGAGTATTACTCCAAGCTACAATCTATTCATAATCCCATTGAGTCCCTCTCCAATTATCTTATTTATTTCACTAACAGGATTCCCTGGAGAATCATCTTTAAGCAGGAGAGAAACCCCACATCCCTTCTAACTCCCAACAGCCCATACTTACCCAATTTTCTTTAGAATACTGATCATGTCATCCAGAGCCTTACGATAAGCCCCAATGATCACAGTTGGGTGCATCTGCTGTTCAAGGAAGTGTTCAGCAACTGAGAGCATCTCTCCGGCTAAAAAAAATAAAAACAACCAATAAACCCACCAAAATTCTTCAGGTAAGTTGTTATAACATCAAAAGTCAAGACAGCAGAACAGCGTGCCAGGCAAAAAGTATCTGCTCTGCATACAGAGAGCTCTACTGTTATCTACACCTTTCTTTGTACTTAATTGTGCTTATCTTAGGGGAAAAAACCCAACAATTTTCCAATTGTGTTCTTTTCTGAGGTGATCACCTAAGGGTCTAATGAACCAAGCATTCTCTTAGATGGTAAAAAGAAAATAATAATAAAAATCAGATTTAATTACCAATTAAATTGGTAAATAAAAAATATGTCTCATTAAAGCACATTTCCTGGGCTCTGATGAGCAAAACTAGCAAACTTCAGCCATAACCCTTTATGAAGAACACGTCTAAATTATTCTCCTTACCAAGGATAATTACAGATGTGGTCCCATCTCCAACTTCCTCATCCTGAGTACGGCTGATCTCTATCATTGATTTTGCAGCTGGATGCTGGACTTGAATCTGTACAGGAGCAAGGATATGGTTTTGTTCATAATTTAAGAAGTTTCAGCTTTAGTAACATCGTTACTAAAGCTGACACTTCTTGCATTGCTCAGTGGAACAAATACCACAACTTTTAAACAATCAAAGGCCTTCTGCCCAACTACAACAAAGACACTTCTTTCTGAGACTGAAAATAAGCCCTTATATTTCACAATATTGTGTCTCCCACAGTTATTCAGGCATTATCATTTTTGGGATGTTATTTTAACAGCACTTGCACCAGAAAGACAACAATAATTTCTTAGTCTAATTATCTGGCATTGTAAAACCAAGCATCTACTCACAAGGTTTTGACGCAAGTGATTATGGCTACAAGTACCAGAGAACTGATGTCCATTTTGTAAAACCTCCATGAAAATTCACCACCCCGGGATCAAACCTGCTTTTCTGAGGAGGAAGAGCACTTGCTGGAAATATTTAATTCCTCCCCAGCAAGCACCTCTCTCAGTACTGCTGTTTAATACTTGCTGGCTCTCAAGATAGAAGACAAAATACCATCGTTCCAGTGGCAGCTACGTAACCGTATCCTGGAGGATTCCAGCTCACATGTTAAGCGTGACAATCCTTAAGGAGAAACTTACTTCTCTAAGAATAGCATTGCCGTCGTTGGTCATCACAATCCCACCCATGGGGTCCAAAAGCATCTGCAACCAGAAAAGAAGTGATATTTGTACCGACCTATAGCACGTGTAGTGCTTCTAGCCGGGATGCAGAGAAGTATTTCAGCAAAAGTTCTCACCTTCATCATAGCTCTTGGTCCTAAACACGTTCGGATAATGTCAGCAATAGTCTAGGACAAACAAAAGAAATGAGGCAATAAAGGAAGGCATGGAAAAGTCTAAAAAAACTCACAGTCTGTATGGCACAAGCAGCCACTGCAAATTTTAAGTGACCCAATGATCCTGTGCTTGCTTAGATGCAGCAGGATTGCTGAGAGTGAGAACACCGGGGTTATAAGGGCACTGGCACCACAGTAATTATCCAAATCAGATGTCAGAAATTACACACTTTCAAAATTTGCAGAGAAAGAGGTTTTGGTGGGTTAAACCCCCGACATTCAGTTACATCACAACTATTATTTTAACACTGAAAATTCATTTTCTATGCTGCTTCTACTCTGGATACATATAGACTATAGAAAACATGCTTCAGAGCCAGTTTTCCCTCTTAAATATAACACACACATTAAAAAAAATTACACAGAGTAAATATATCTCTCACACACACACAAAAAAAGAAGAATCAAAATAGCTTGACATAAGAGTACGGTACCTTAGCAGCAGTGATGTTTCCAGTCTGGACTTTTCTTCCAGACTCACGTTTCATATTCTGACCTAAAGCAGACAGGAAAAAAAAAAATTTAAGTACAAATAAACTTTAATCTGCTCTTACCAAGAACCCCAAGACTGAAACTGTGATACTGACAGTGCAAAGATAGCCTCTCATCACACACACTTGATACGTGACCAGTTCTAAATTAAGAGTTTACAATATACCACAGCCATTGTCAGAAATGTATTCCTAGAGAAGTGTCAGTGAAAACAACATTCCTTATTATAACAGAATTCGTGATTAGCATCACAATTCAACCGAGACAAAACTTTGCAACCCTGAAATACAACCTATTCCCCCAAGAAAACCAAAAGGCAGTGAACCACTAGAATCCGCAAGATCCCACACAGCTTAGGAACTGCTGCAGTTTCCAGTCAAAAAGAAGTTACAGATGCCCACGTGAAGTACAATACACGTTTAAAATTAAGTTTTATACACTAGTGTTGCTCAGCCTGTGGCCGATTAGGGTGAGCAGCCATGGCTGTACCACTTGGGGAGTAACTGTCAAAAGGGTCTGCTCTGCAGAATCTCTAGTTTTGGTACCGCTTTTCTTTTACTACAAACCTAGGATGGAAGAGCACAGATTTACTTCAGGATTGGATCTTTGTGGTAATGGATTTATAAGACAGAAAAAATGGAAGCAACGGTAAAAGCAGCCCCAAGAAGAAGGTAAGGAGGCCTACTGCGAAGGGGCCCTGCAGCAGCCTGCCTCGGGCTGCCGGCGAGCTGAGCAGATGGACAGCGAGAATGAGAAACCCAAGCAGAAATAAACCCCCATGTCCAGCCCCGTGTTGGAGTGTGAACCACACAGTGCGAGGGGCTCAAACGGGACAGCACAAAGCAACGTGAGGAAAAACACGCGAGGAGAAATAAAAGCTGAGAGGAGTCAAGAACCGCCAGGAAAGGCGGAATGAGGAGCGGGGGCTCCGGTGCCCTGAGAGCTCCCGCGCACGGAGCAAAGCGGGGCCATGGGTGGAGCGGAGGGGCGGGCACGGCCCCTCTGGAGCGGGCAGTGGCTGTGGAGAGTCTGCGGGGAGCGAGAAGGGACATCTCGGGGGGAGCTCGGGGCGTGCCGGGGCCCAGCGGAACCCCCGGGGGAGCCCCGGTAAGGGAGTGCCCGGCCGCGAGGGGGAACCCAACATGGCGGCGGGGAAGGCGAGAAGGGAAAGGGGAGCCCTGCCCTCAGCCCCCCAGCCC